CAAATAAAATGTCATTCCTTTGCCCTTAAAATAGCACCATTACTTTCATAATCGAGCTGCCCAGGCTTCTCTCTAAATAAACCCTCCTCCAGCTTGACAGGTTGCCCCTGACCACAGAGGAACAGAACGGGGAGCAGTGATGGCTCACCCCCATCCTCAGGTGGGCCCCTCCTGGCTGCGCTGAAAGGAAGAACTTGACTAAAGTCAGCTAGGTGGCGAGTTTCTACCAACATTTCCACCTCTGAGCTGTCATGGGGTGACACCAGGCCTCTTACGGGGTGCCTCCTCGCCATTCCCACCCTAGTTTTTTGTGGCCAGGTTTGAGTATATTAAAATTGAGTGATTTTCATGATTGACTTAAAGGTGCCAGCTCCGAGCCCTTTCAGGAATGGGCCTAAGTGTCTGGAAGAGCATGTAGATTCCTCCTCCCTAATGAAGTCCGAGGCCTCATCACCCGGGTTGAATTAGTGTAAGTCGTGCTCTAGAGAGAGGATGGATGACCCAGAGGGGCGTAACAACCGAGAACGCTGGGCCCCTCCATCACACCCAGGATGTCCCGAGGGGGCAGAAGACAAGCCCGCCTCCCTGTATCTGGAGGTGAAACCTGGGGGTCAGGGCAAGGTGGCCAGATGTCCCTACTTCTAAGAGCCAGTCAGTGCTGATCTCCAAAAACCCTCTTCTGGGCAGACGGCACATCTGAGGACAAGCCTTTGAGGAGACTGAGGATGCAGGTTGCATTTGCTGGTGGGCTCCACGTGACTGACGTGCAGATCCGTGCCCTCTCCAGGAAAGCTCCTTAGCCTCGTCCTGGCCGTCAGTAATTCAAGCCATCAGACACAAGGCGTATTTTTGAAGTACATATTATTTCTTGTTCTAATTTACAAATGAGGAAACTGAAGGTCAGAGAAGTTAAGTAAGTCACAGAGCTGGGATCCTACACCAACACCAAAGCTCTTTGCACAAAGAAGAAAAAGTGAAAGCAAACTTCTACCTCAAACTGTGAGCCTGAACTACATTCTTCTGGCTGTTAGCGGATGTGGAGTGGAGACGGCGCCCGCCTGTGCCGTCAAGACCTGAGTTTTTATTCCACCTCCCGGGTGTATTAATGGCTCAGTCCTGTGGGTACTGACTTCATCAGGAGGGGGAGGGGGATGGTGACTGTTGTCTGTGTCACTTCTCTCCGCGTCCTCCTTTCCTTCTCTTTTTGTCACTTCATTGTCCTTTCGCACACAGATCCCACGGGCAGGCTCCCAGTGAGAATGGCACGTTAGATAGAAGGACCTGGGGAGGTTCCAGAGAAGGTGTCAGCGTGGCTGCCTGTTTGTGCTTTCACGCTGGCACAGACAGGCGGGTTCTCGCTGTAAGTCCCACTCCTCGTGTGCCAGGCAAGGAGCAGACATCCGGCCACCCTCCGCCCCCGTGGACGCCCTTCCTCGGGAGCTGGCGCAAGGAAGCAGCCTGGAGAATTGCTCTCTTCCTGTGAGAGCCTGGACTGGGGTGGGTCCGGGTGCTATTATTACTCGTTGGTGTGGCCTGGCAGCGGATCGGGGCTTATTCCCAGTTTGCTCCCTGTTCCAGCTCAACCGTTCTGGTCAGGACAGGATGTTCCCTCTAACGCCAGCACCTGCCTCCACCGGGAGGCCAGCCCAAAGGTCTGGATGGTGCAAATGGGCAGTGCCACGCCATAACCTGGCATCAGCACCCAGCTCGTGGGGGGAGCCCTCCTCCCTTGGTTCTGGGCAGTCACTGGGGAGATTCCCACAGTCTCTAAACACCGCAGCCCCCATCTTCCCCTTCTGCCCACTTTCCTTTCACCCTGGTTCCCACAGGTACCACTCAGATCCCCTCGTACCGCGGTCCCCTAACAGGAGTGACATCTCCCTTTCTGCCCCAACTTCCCACCCTTCCCTTCCTAACTAACAACATTTAAATCCATCAACATCAGGAAAAAAGAGGAACATGTCAGGTTTTTATAAAAAACACATTTTTAATTAAGTTCAACAAACTGAGCTAATCAGTAGCAGCTATCATATTAACGGCACAACCACCAGCAGGTATCGGCTGCCCCCTAAGCACAGCCTAAGAGGAATCTCATTGACCCTCACTTCACAGCGAGGAGTCGGAAACACGGAGAAGTGAAGGGCCCGGCCAGGCCACACGGGCACTGACGGCAGAGACAGACCCTGGGCCTAAGTGGCGGGCCCCGAGCCCGTGGTGCTGTGGGGTGGCGCAGGCGCGCTTTGCCCTGCCACTGCCCACAGGGTCAGCGGGACAAAAAGCAGAAAGGCCCTTCCCTACCCGCCCTGCTGCCTCCCTTCCTACTCTTTACCCGAGTCCTCAGTCCTCTGCAGGCGACCCTGTTTCCCCTCCCCTCCCCCCGCCCACCTGTCTCCTCCCAGGCCTCTCCTGTCTCTCCAGGCGCTGGAAGCACCTTCCCCACTCACCCCATTGGCCCTCCCCTCCCGTTTTTTTGTTTGTTTTGTTTTGTTTTTTAAATATATTTTATTGATTTTTTTTTTACAGAGAGGAAGGGAGAGGGATAGAGAGGCAGAAACATCAGTGAGAGAGAAACATCGATCAGCTGCCCCCTGCACACTCCCTACTGGGGATGTGCCCGCAACCAAGGTACATGCCTTGGCCAGAATCGAACCTGGGACCCTTGAGTCTGCAGGCTGACTCTCTATCCACTGGGCCAAACCGGCTAGGGCTCCCCTCCCATTTTTGCCCACATACGTGCTTCCTCCACTGCAGCCACCCTGGCCCCTCTGCCCGCCTCGCTGTCTCACACACTCGTCTGGTAAGCATGTCTGCAGGCCTGTTCTGTGAGAATCAACAAAGTAAGGTCCCACCCTCAGGCCTCTTCCTTGAATGGAATGCCTCCTGGTGCCCACCCTCCGTCCGAAGCAGGCCCTCCCCCACCTCTCCCAGCCACTCCCCACCCAGTCCCAGCCTGCCCCTCCTGCGTCCCTGTCCAGGTTGGCACTTGTGAGCAGCGCTGGCGCTCAGGTGTAAACCACCGCCCAGCACCGCTGACAGGCGGGAGGAGGTCCAGCCCGCGGCTTCGCCGTATCTCCTCTCAGGCTATTTTTAAAGCTTCTCGCTGTGCCCAGGGCGAATGACATGGTGCTTGCACCCAAGTGTCTGTTGACACACCCTGAGGAAAGGACAGTAATAAAAATACACTAATTGGACGTGTTTGTAAAACATTCCCTGGGCACAGATGCTCACACCTGTAACCCTGACTCTAAGAGACTTTTAGGGGAAAACTTTTCTTTCTTTTCTTCTAATATACTTTATTGAAAAAAAAAGCAGGGAAAACTTTTCTTAAGGCTCATGCAGCCCTGCAGAGGCTTCACTGTTCCGGAGAGCCCACCAGCCAGGCCCCACTCGTGTGCCTCACGCCCGTGCTGGCCCTGACTCCACAGCACCGTCTCAGCAATGGCCCAGACAACCCTCCTGCACGCACACCTGACCAGCGTCCCGCCACAATGTCCTGGCCACCTGAACACACCCTGACAGGGCAGGTTCTCACCTGAGGCCCCTGCCACAAAGCAAGCTCCCCTGAGGGCATCACCCGTCAACCAGCTCTCGGTGCCCCGCCCCAAACTGGAAAAGGCCTGGTCCTCGTGGAGCTCACTGTCCCCCACCACCACCACCACCCCCCCAGGGAGGGAACACGACCTACAGCTTGTGCTGCCCCCTCTCCCGTCTTAGCTCAGCAGAACCTCTAGCCTGCTGTCTCCTGATGGTGACCAGGGACCAGGAGGCCTCTTTGTTGGTTCAGGCACATTGGGCTGGTGATGCCATTCCCCTTGGCCAGTTGCTTCTTATCTTTCTTCAGCTAAGCTTTCCTGGGGGAGCCCATGTGTAGGGGCCATCATAACTGCCATATTCATTCATTCATTCATTCATTCATTCTCATCCTCCCTCTCTCTACCCCTTCCTTTCTCTCTCCTTCTCTCCTTCCCTCCCTCTGTAACAGCTTTTTGAGATGTAATCCACATATCATAAAACCCATCCTTTTACAGTGTGCTAATTCACAGTCATGCAGCCATCAGCACTATCTAATTTTAGGACATTTTTATCGTGTTCTGTTGGCTGTCACTGCCCATTTCCCTTTCCCCACAGCTCCTGGCAACGGGGAGCTTTTTGTCTCACTGGATCTGCCCATCCTGGACATTTCATATACATGAAATCACACAACATGTGATCTTCTGTAACTGGCTCCTTTTAGCATAACGTTTTCCAAGGCTGTAGCATGTGTCAGTACTTCATTCCTTTTTACTGCTGACTATTATTCCCTTGTAGGGATGTGCCGCATGTTGTTTAATCATTTATCAGTTGATGGATATTTGGGTTGTTTCCACGTTCTGGCTGTTATGAATATTTAATCCTGCTACAAACATTCCTGTACAAGTTTCTGTGTGAATACATACGTTTTCCATTCTCTTGGGTGCATGCTTAGGAGTGGAATGGCTGGGTCATAAGGTAACTCTGTTTAACAATTTGAAGAACTTCCCGTCTGATTTCCAAAGTGACTGCGCCAGGTTACAGTCCCCTCGGCGGTGTGTGAGGGCTTGCCGTTCTCACTGGATGCTCACCACCGCCTTCTCAGATTGGTATCATTATAACCTACAGCTTACAGTTCGGGGCACGGAGGCTCCAGGTAGGTAAGTAACCTGCCTTTTACTTCCAAAGGCCATGCTCTTCCCTCTGTGCCCTCCTGCCAGGGAGCAGCCCTGCATCGCCCAGGCACCACTGCTTCTCACCCTTCCACCTCCGCGCCTGCAGCGCCCTGATGCGAAGTCTCCCTGTGTTGCAGGACGTGTCCGGAAATGCTGCGTTTCTGGCCTTCACTCCTTTTGGATTTGTTGTTCTTCAAGGAAACAAGAGGGTCCACTTCATTAAATGGTGAATATCTTCTTTTCCGAGACAGGCTGTTTGTCCTCCACCCGCTGGGGAGGCTGTGGTTCCCGTGTCCTTTGTGATCAGGCAGTTCAGGTGCTGAGCCCCTCCAACGCCTGGCATCCAGAGTGCTGCTGGAGGCAGTGGTCTCTCCCCGGGGACCCTGCTCTCCCAGAGGGATGTTGCTCAGAGCCTACAGCCTCGCCAGAGGAGGAGCGGGTGTGCAGGGTTGGTTTCTGGGAACGATGAGAGGCCTGGGGCTGGAGCCAATGTTAGAAAAGCCGAGTCCCCATGAGAAATGAGACCTTGGGACTATTCCCTGCTGAGGGCCATGGCGTCTGCACAGATGCCTACTCCCTCAGCCGCTCTCCTAGCAAAGGAGGGGCTTGCAGTGACCCCTGGGCAGATAGGAGTTACCCTGTTGCTCTGGCAAACACCCTCCTCGGGCCAAGCCCACTTGTGGGCACTGCCTGCCCCTCTTGAGGGGTTAGGTGTCCTCAGCCTCCAAGAGTCACAGCCCCCTTTTTCTTCCCTCTCCCCCTCCCTCACCCCATTTCTAGCAGGCAGGAGACACTGCCTCGGCTGAAGCCACTCTGAGCTTCCACCTCCTGCCTGTCTGTCTGGGGTCTGTTCTGCCGCGTGCGTGGCTCTGGGAGCCAGCGCAGTGCAGACTCTGGCTCGTTGATGGACGCTGGGCCTCTGAGATACCCTTTTCCTGGTCCATGCAAACACCTCTCGCCTCATCAAAACATGTTGCCTGTTCTACTAAGCCCCCGTGATTCCTGTACCTCCTTGGGCCTTAGACGGCCACGTCTAAGCAGGCAGCTCCTCCCATGGGCTTGGGCAGGTGGCTGTCCTCGCCCAGCAAAGCTCAGCAGGGGAGCCTGCTCCTGTCTTGTTTCCTTTGCCGTCTCCAGAAGAGCTCATGGGGACTGAGGACACAGCAGCTTCCTGACGAGCTTTCCGCTGGGGGAACTGCAGGGCATCCGTTCTCCTGTGTCCCCTTCAGCTCCCGCACTGACCTCATAGAGACCACCTTTCCACCCTGTCGCTCTTGTGAAGCCTGGCAATGAGGATCAGCCGAGTGCTAGTGAAACTCCTCAGACACCCGCCCCAGCTGGCCCACCCACTGTGCTCTTGGGGTGAAGATGGTGAGGGTCTGCGGTCCAACAAAGTACTTTTCAGAAACAGAAAGACCAGGATCAGGCCGCCATTCTCCCTCCCAGTGAGGAGCACCTGCTGCCTGGATACAGCTGGGTGGTCTGCTGCCCCTGAGCGAGCCCAGATCCTGGGCCACATTCTGACCAAGGTAGCTGCCTCATGAGGTAGGACACACCTGTTATAGGGACCCACAGTCCCTAACGCTTCCCTACCCTTCCAGAAGCCCTGATGGTCACCTGGTTCTCGAGGCCCTTTTACCCTCAGTCTGCAGAGAGTCTCCCCTCCGTGCGGTCTCAGCTCTAATAGATGTAAAACCAGCCTCACTTCCAATAGAAAACTCTTCCTCTCCTGTCTTTCTTGTTGAAGCCTAGATGATCTGTGTGCTTGTTTATATATTAACTGACATTTATTGTCTTATGTGAGAGATGGATGGGTGGGAACAGAAACAGGGAAGGAATATGCTGTGTCCTGTATTAGCGCAGAATCATCAGCTCTCGTCCTGACCCAGCCATGATCTCCAGGGAACAAGAGACCTTCCTTTGGCCCCTCAGTTTCGTCCAGTAGTAAACTGGGTACATGGCTCTCGCTACCTTGTCTAGATACCGAGGAAATCTCCCTGAACACTGCAAAGTGGAGGGAGCTAAGCACAGGCACGTGCGCCTGGCAGACCTCCATGGGGGTCTCCGTGGGTAGAACAAGGCCTCTGCCCCAGTGAGGCTGGAGGGCCTTTGGCTCCAGGGGTAGCTGTGTCCGGCAAACGGAAGGAAGGGAGCACGGCCCATGCCGAGGCCTCGTTCTCTGGCTCTCAGGGACAGCCTCCCGTGGCCCCGGTCATTTTTTCATTTCGTAAATGTAACCAAGGCTGCAAGCAGCATGTGGAGGTGAGCTCTAAGCCGTGCCATGTACAGTAACCATGTCACTTCTTCTGATTTGTGTCTGTCCCACGGGTGACGCACCCCAGTATCCTGTTTGCCTCTTTTACTGCAGCCATTCACTGGGCTGGTGGCTTCACGGATTTTTCTACAAAACCCCCTAAGCCCCTTTCCTGGTCAGTACGCTGCATGACTGTTCATGTAATCTGTCCTCTCTTTGGTATGTTGTCCCGCCCCCGCCCTGAGATCATTTGACATTTGTCTGCACTCAACTGCATTTTCCATCCAGTGGCACAGTCACCCGAAAGACTCAACTCCCCCAGAACCTGGTTGCGTTGTTTTCCATTATTTGCTGTATCTTGAACTTTGGCCTCATCAGCTGCTGTGGCATCTTACGTTTGATAGTCCCAACTAGATAATGCACCTGTGTTATGAACCAAACCCTAAAACGGCCAGCACCACTCTATCGGGACTCACTTCCCATGCCAGTGCCCCATTCCCAGCCCCTGCTGGTGGGCCTGAATCCTCCCGTCACCCTATTAGGGTTTGACCAGAAAACTGTGGACTGAACTATTTCAACAACTGTTCTCTAAGGCCACTGCGCTGCTGTCTTGTTTTACTTCTGATTTTGGCTAAAACTGTGTCTGTGCCTGGAGCCCCTTCCAGTGGGGGTGGGCTGTGCATCTGCAAGACGTGACTGTGACCAGGCAGCCCACAGCAAGGTGACTGCTGCTGTCTTTGTGCTTCTAGGAACGAGGTGACCAAGCTGAAATTTGAAGGGAAGACTTTCTATTTATACGTAAGTCAGAAAGAGGTGAGTGCCGGCTTCCTTCTTTCCAGGAAGGTTGGGATGCTAGATGGTCCCTGATGGCCAGGGCTGAACCAAAGTGCTCCGTCCAGGCAGAGCTAAGCCCCCAGCATGCTGAGCCATGACCAAGGGCCAGGCATGGAGGTGAGGGAGGGAGAGGAGGCCCTGGAACACAGGGCTTCCTCAGGGATGCTGACAGCGCCCAGGGGTCCCATGCCTCCAGGAAATGCAAAATAGAATTCTTTTGCTTCCATATGAAAATCCCAAGATAATAAATACAAAAGAAGAAGAAAAGGACCATTTTTAGATGAGCCCCACCTTCTCTGGGGAGGGCTTTCTTGGTTCAGTGTGTGCCCGCTGAGACTTTCTCACTAACCCTGCCGGGTATGAACTTACACAACTGAGCTCTGCCCAGGGGTCCCCAGGCCTTCTCTTCCAACTAGCCAGGCAGCCCCTCTCATCTGCAGCCTGGGAGAGTCATGGGAGCCCTCAGACAGCTCAGCGGGGTTCAGTGTCCTGGTCTACGTCACCCTTCACCTCTCCACCCCCACTCAGCTGTTTCTATGTGGGGTTTTTTGTAGGAAAAGAAAATTATTCTCACATATTTTGCTCCAACTCCAGAAGCCTGCAAGCACCTCTGGAAATGCGGAATTGAGAACCAAGCCTTCTACAAGTGAGTAGACAACACAGGGCATGGGACCGTCATTATCAGAGCCAGTGCGGGGAAAGCTGCTTTCAGAGGAATGATGGACAGGACGCATTCAGAAATGAGACGTGAGATGACATGGCTAGCTTCCTTATAAACCTCAGACCCCTCTTGGGGTGCCTGGGTGTACCCCCTGGAGGGACAGAGCTGAGATCTGGAAATGTGTTTCAGTAGAGTTGCCTAAGTTGTGATGTCCTTGGACAGCCCTCTGTGTTAAAGCACTTTTCAGAGTAAAGCTTGGACCAGGAGAAGCCCATGGGTGCCTGACTCAAATCACACTGGCCCCCTGGAGCCGGTCGGAGCCCTAAGACAGCTCAGAATACAATAGCTCCATGGAGCAGGCTCAGCCCAGAGCAGTTCCCTAAGCCTTAGAGAGATCCTGGGCCCACACCCCAGTGAGTGACCTGGTGCTAAGCTGGCATGGATTCTAGCCCTCCTGGAGTGTCAGTGCCAGAGGTGTGGCCAGGTGCCCAGGAGCCTGGGATGGGGTAGCTGGAGGGGGGCAAGGACTTGTCTGGTTCTGAGAAGCCCACTTTGCTTACCAAAGAATTTTGTAAAGAGTTTGTGCTTAATTTTCTTTTCTTAAAAGAATATATTTTTATTGTTTTCAGAGAGGAAGGGAGAGAAACATCAATGATGAGAATCATTGATCGGCTGCCTCCTGCACGCCCCCTATAGGTAGGGATCAAGCCCACAACCCGAGCATGTGCCCCAACCGGGAATCTAACCGTGACCTCCTGGTTCACAGGTCAACGCTCAACCACTGAGCCACCACAGCCGGGCTGTGCTTAGTTTTCTTTAAGAAAGTGGGCATAAAGGTATTAGGGAGCAAAGAAATAGCCCATTGAGAAACTGGAGTGATGCCAGATAGAGTATGTTTCACCAAAACCCTTGGTCTTGTTTTGAAAATGGAATGCAATGATTTATGCTTTAATAAGCTGTATTTTAATCAGGACAATGTAAGACAAAGGGTGTCGTATATGTTCTGCCGGATAGGCCATTGTTCTCCCTCCAGTAACCAGAGGAGAGAGCAGAATTGCTCTAGGCTTTGGGAGCAGAGTGGGGGACGGTTGGGGGTGGGGTATCGGTTGGGGGTGGAGTATCATCCTTCTTCCCAGTGAGCAGACTCTGCTACCTGCTGGCTACTATGGGATGCTGGCCAGAGAACTGGTCTCCTCCCTGTTACTGTGACCACAGCCCCAGACATGGTTTCTTGGGCAGGCTTTCTGAACTGCTTAACAATTTCTGTGCATTTGATACAGAATCAGGGATGAGCTGAATGAGTGGCCTGAATTCTAACCGGAGTTGTCTTTATTCTTCTCATTGAAGAGAAGACACTTGGAGAAGACTTTTGCGTGGTCAAAATTTCCCTCCTGTTCAGTCCCTGGTACCCAAGGGGAAGCCAAGCAAACATTTCAGCACCATTTCTGGAGGCCTTTACTTTTCTATCTGTGTCGTGGGAACAGAACTGTGCTGCTGGACCTGTGACCAAACGCGGTTTATGAGTCTTTCCATTAATAGGCCTCCAGACCTAGTTAGCCCTGCCAACACCCACAGTGGAAACCAAGGTCGTCCTTCACTGTTTTCCATTAACTACTCAATGTTCTAATTAGTGTTACAAGTCAGATCCCCAGTTATGCCAAGTTTCTAGCAGCAGCTACTTGGGCCTCTGAGTGTCTCTCATTCGCAGATTCCTGCCAGTGCCCGGTGCTATGAAGGGAGCCAGGTCGGACTCAAGAATGTGTTGGGGCAGGAGGGCACTAGGCTGAGCCTCAAAGTCCTGAGCGGGGGGGGTGGGGCGGGTGACTCTCAGGAACTGCTGGTCATGGACTGTGGGGACAGCTCCCTAAGTATCCACAGCCCCCTCCCGGCAGAGGCTTCAGACCTCGATGGGTTCCTGGCGGATGAGCAGCAGGGGCACCCAGACGTGTTGTGGCTGAGTTGGGTCTTGGGAGACTTCACTCTGGGCAGCTGTGCCTACACTTCCTTTTCTAAGTGGGATCAGAGAAGTCACCCAAAAGGACGTTTCACAGTGCGCGTGGCCTTCCCCCGTCTCCACATCAGCTATTTCGACAGGCTTGAAAGGGAGGTGAATGGGCATGGGGATGAGGTTCCAAGTTTAAATAGGTGATGGAACTTTTATTGAAGTTACGCTAGCTTCTCCATTTCAGGACTTCTTGGAGTCTTTAATGTGATAATACACGTTAGGGATCTCCAAGAAGAAGATGAAATAGGAAGGCAGTTACCTAGACATGAATGCGAATCACCAAATACTAGGACTGGAAAGGTCTCCCGAGGTCACATAGTCTCAGCTCCATTAGTTTATAGGTAAGAAGACGGAGGCTAAAGAGAAAAAACTCTGCCTACCTGAGATCCAGTGGGTGGCATTCTATTATTCCCCCAGATTATCATCCCTAACATTTATTCTCCCCGTCTCCCAGGTGAAACCCTCCCTCTCCTGACACGAAAGTGGGGTTCAGCCCTAGTCAGTTTGCTCAATGGATAGAACATCACCCCACGGACTGAAGGGTCCCAGGTTCGATTCCGGTCAAGGGCACACATCTCAGTTGTAGAGTTGATCCCCGGCCCTGGTCAGAGACGTGTGGGAGGCAACCAATTGATATCTCTCTCTCTCTCTCTCACACACACACACACACACACACACACACACACATCAATGTTTCTCTCTCCCTCCCTTCCACTCTCTAAAAACAAAAAAAATCAATGGGAAAATATTCTCGGATGAGGATTAACAACAAAAAGAAAGTGGAGTTCAATGTGCCTGTCCCTGACACTGAGGCCGTGAACACGGCCCTCAGGTCCGAAAGGAGAGTCAGACACCGGCAGGGCTGTGAGGGCTTCTTGCTGTGGAAGTCACTGGGAATGCGGTATTTGGCCCGGGACAGTCGCAGGCCGTGTCACACGGGACTTTGCCTTGCTGCAGGCTAGAGAAGTCAAGCCAAGTCCGCACAGTGTCCAGCAGCAACTTATTCTTTAAAGGGAGCCGGTTCCGATACAGGTAAATAGTGACAGTAAGTAACCATTATGGACCTATTTTCAGATCCTTCCCCCAGAACAGTGGCTCAGTGGTCCTTATCCTTGAGAACAAAGAAACTGGAAACCTCCAGAAAAGCCTGAGGTTCCCATCAAATCCTTTGACTATTCTTTCCCTCCCTGCAGCTGGGTCTGTAGGGTTTTAAATGAGTACCTTCTCCTCCAGCCTTTACAACCGCAGCACAGTAAGAACGGTAACAGTAATCCTTCCCATGTCTGTCTAAGGATCTCTCTTTTTTTGCAATATTTTTGGAACATCCTGGACAAGGAGGAATCGTTCCTAAATGAGAATGAAAGATCCAAGACTCCAGAGATAGAGGGCTCTCTAAGATCAGCTGCCGGGACACCCTAGGCTTGCTTGTGGGGGTGACGTTCTCGCTCAGTGGCCTAAACACTGGGAAGGGGTAGGCCAGGGGCCGTTTCCCAGTTCAGCCGAAGTAATCAGAGAGCTTGGAGAGGAGCCCAGTCCTGGAACGCTGTCTCACTTCTTGCTGCTGCTTCATTATACTCCTCACAGTGGCCGAGTTGCAAAGGAAGTAATGGAGTCGAGCGCCCAGATCAAACGGGAGCCGCCGGAAATCCACAGGTAGGCTGCCAGGGGCTTCCCCTAAAAGCAGTTCCAGCTCAGGTCCCGGAACCTCGAAAGAGCCAGCAGCTGGAGTAATGTGAAGACTGGCCACATGGCTCCCAAAAGGGGAAGGAGGACAGGGCAGAAGCGGTGAAGAGACCCATCTCAGCTAAAGATGAATAAGCGGGGAGACGGGCTAATGCAGACAGTACGTCAGATCCAGGAGCTCCTTCCTGGGTAATTCTGTACTGTCCTCCCAGGTCCTGAAATTGGTCATACACCATGGAGGACATGTCCAAGCAGCAAGATTTCATTGGCTGTGGAATCAATTCATTATGAAAGCCAGGGATAGCCCCACACCCAGGTCACACCCCTCATAAGCTAGTTCTGAGAGCCATGCTTCATGCATACATTTCCAGGAGCCCATCTCCAAAACCCAATGAGACCCAGAGAGAATATGATTGGCCAAGAGAGCTAGGGTTTGTCAACCAGCCTGACCTCTGGGAATGGGAGCCCTTTACACAGACCCCCTGCCACCTCAGGGGAATCGAGGGGGCTGCCATATCCATTTTCGGGAGCACTGATTACCTCGGGGCACCATCCTGCTCAGAAGCCAGTGGCACCATTGCCACACTAAAGAAAGGTTCTGGTGGGTCTGGGACCTAGGGAGTGTCTCTGACTGGGATCCAAAGCGGGTATTAAAGATTTTTTAAAAAACAAAATAAAACTTAAACGGCCAATTGTAGTGGCCACTCCTCAACTCGGAGTCCTGACCACAGCTATCTGTGCACTAAGCTAACTGTTCTTTTCCTTTAACCTCAGAGCTGGGATGGTTCCCAGCCGCAGCTGCCCCTCCATAACCCATGGCCCAAGGCTGAGCAGCGTCCCCAGGACTCGGAGAAGAGCTGTTCATATCTCCATCATGGAAGGTAAGCATGAGTTCTGGAGATGGAAGGTAAGCTGACCGCAGATTTCTCCGAGTTATGACTTTGACCAGTTCCACTCAGGGACCTTGAAAAGAAGTGAAGTTTCACTGGAGACAGCAGCAAGTTTCTGATGGTAGGGAGAAGGTTTCACCCAGCGGATGGGCACACAGGCTGGGTGTCAGGGGCAAGGGGATCCCCTCCAGCCCCGCTGAGCTGTAATCCAGGAGGGCTGTCGATCGGAGAGTATTCGGGGTAGACCTTTGGGAAACGAGGCATGTGGGCTCTACGAGGTTCCACACCGTTCTGAAATTGCTTTCCATCCAGAGGCCTTTCACTTGTTTTCCAGATCTGACCAGTCTCCACAGCTTAAGTGATCAGAGTGGCCTGGGGCAGTTAACAAAAATAAACACGCCTGGTTCTGAAGCATTCCAGTAATGGCCACCACCTTTCCTTCAGGGGTAGAAGCCTGCCCTCTTGCCGTCTGAATTCTCTAACAGTATCTTAGGAAACCCATATGCCCATCTCTCTCAGCCCTCCTCTCCCTTTGGAGTAGGTGGAGGTAGAGAGACTAAGTCTGTGTAGCTTCAGAACTAGATCCCCCAGCAGCCTGAGGTGACGCCACTCCGTGTCTGGGTACTAAGACTGTCCGGAGACTCTCGGAATAGTGCCCCCCGGCTGTGGTCCCTGCCTCGCTGGCCCTGCAGGCTGGACACAGGTGTCAAGTTTTCATTCTGGGTGATGACCGTTTGCAGGACCTCAGATCTCAAGCAGCAGGAGAGAGCAGCAGGATTACTTCAAACCTTGTTTCTGTCTTGGAGGCTGGGGAGGGAAGGCCCTGTCTTTTCTGAGCGAAGGCTACCCGTTAATGAAAACCAAGTTAGGAAGGCCGCTCTCCCGGGGAGGATCTCGGGTTTGTGTCACTGACTCTGCGTCACCGGCGTGCGGTTCTCTGGGGGCTGAGAACCCTGGCTGGGCCACCACCACCACGTGCCTTAATTATCTGAGAATCTTAGTTGTTCCATTTGTAAATAAGGGGCATCTTCCTGGCCATGGGTTGCAAGGACGCTGGTGTAGTGCCAGCACATGTCTGGGCAGGCAGCCAGCCCAGTGCAGAGCCCTGGCCAGGAAGGCCAAGAGGAGATTTCATCGGAGTCCTGCCGCGGACTTTCTGGGGCAGGTTGTTTACCCTCGGAGCCTGTTGCCCCCACTGTAGAGCGGGGTGTGAATGTGGAAGGCGCCTTGTAAGCTACCAAGGATAATCACTATGCAAGGCATGGAATTATTGAGGTCCGTCATCAGACACAGTACCCCGAGTCTGTCCCCGTCAGGCTGAGCAGAACAGAGGGTGGCTCACACTGTCCCTCTTCTTTTGGGTGTTTCCCTCAGGAAAGTGGAATGATTTTCTCCTCTTTTGAGGAAATATAACTTTCTCCCCCTGTGTCCCCTCTTCCCATCCATCCTGAGGCTGAAGCCGCCAGGCCCACCCCAGCGGAGGATGGGACACAGCCCATTTCCAGCCTGAGCCACGTCCTCACGCTTCAGAGCCACTCACCCAAAGCCCAATGTCTGTGTAGTTTCAAACCCTGAGTTTTCTGGACAGTCCCGATCCCCCTGCCCTCAGCACTGTTCCCTTCCCTCTCGTCTGTCACCCTCTGAGAGGTCTAGGGCCCTTATACGGGCCTCAGGGAACCAGCTACAGGCTGGGAAGCATGACTTTTTATGGCTCTAAGTGCTTCTGGCTGAATCCAGTCCCCTGATAACATGGGCCTCTCGAGCGGCTCCTTCCCTGCAGCTCACGGAGCTGCCCTCCCTCCAGCACGGGAGGCGCTGCGAAGGGGCCGCCGTGGGCCGAGATCGGCACGGATCCCTTGTCCGCGGCTGGTTTTCCGTCCTTTCCCTCTGTATCTCCCTGCCCGGCTGGATTCCATGAAGAGGTCAGCTGGTTTCCACTGAAGAAGCATCCGCTTTCCCGGGCTTCCATGGGGAAGAGTCTGATTAAGATTCACACCAGAGTCCGCGTGCAGCTCCGGCTGACTAACCACTGCCTTCGGCCCCTGAGTGTGCGCGTCCTGAGGATGGGGCCCCGGCTGCAGGGTAGGCTCCTGACCGCTGGGCCCCCCAGCCCCCGGGGAGCCACCTCTGGGCAAGGCAATCAGCTGGAACACCCCCAAGGTAACCTGACAGTCCTCTGTTTTGCTGTGCCCCTCGCCCAATCCCGCCCGCAGCACCCACCCCATCCCCCCAGAATAACAGGTTTGGCGAAGGGGTGAGGCAGGTGGTGGTTTGCAGTGACACCGGAAGTTCCGTACAGGACTAACCTGACAGAGGGGTGATGCAGGTGAGGTCTGTTGAGGGAACAGGCGACTAACATTTACAGAGTAACTCTGTCAGACATTACTGGAAATGCATGCATATCCATTACCTTGTTTACTGAGAGCACCCACAATTCAGTGTGTGGCTGCTGGTGTCCCTCTAATTCGTGCTTTCTGATGTCACAGACTTTGCCTCTCTCCATCCCCAGCTTAGGGCTACACTGAGGCCAGGCTAAGCTCGCACTGAAGTGGCTTCTGGCTGCGAAGCTGGTCAGACTTTGGAAGCTCTGGCAGTCAGAGCTGTCCTGGAGGGGGCAGCCCCATGAAAGGGTGTGAGATGCCCTGTGCAGGGGGAACTGAGGCTCCAGAGAAAAGGGGGGCCAGCGGGGTGGCTGGGAAAGGAGCCGAGCCAACGCCATGTGTAATCAGGGCCTGAAGGTTTCTGTTTCATCGGGGATCCCTTACCCACTGGTAGGTACATATTCCTCCGGCTGCATGTGCACGTGGAGAATCAGGGAGGAGAGCCGGGGAAGCAGAGACCAAAGGAGTGTCAGGGGCTCTGGAACAGGGACAGACAGGCTGCACAACAGCTTCTTGGACAGTTAGGACCTAAATCTAAGGGAGGTGCCGGCGGTTGACTTAATTCTTCCTGCCCACTGTCCCACTCCCCGTAACCCAGCTGCGTGATCATTAGCACCATGAACCGGAAGGATGCCTGGGTTCTCTCCGTGCCTTTGCCATTAGCAACCAACCAGACTTTAGGTACGTTCTGTAACCTCTCACCCTCACTACTTCATGGAGTTGTTAAAAGATAATGAACGTGCTTTAAAAAGTTTAAACCATTGTACAAATTTAAGATTTTAGCAGAGGAACAAACAAAATACAGCTAGGACCGTAAGGAGACCGTTGGCTGCTGAACTAGCCCTGAACCAGAAAACTCCCCTATCAGCTGGTTCCTATACGTCAAACCTTTCCCTGCCTGGGGCAGTCAGAGTCCATTTCAGAGCAACAGAAGGGGGCTGACTTCTCTTGTCATAGGCCACAGAGGCAGGGAGAGCCACTCTGACACCACCAAGATGGCCAGGGATGGAAAATACAGATGTTGAACCTGAAACAGGACGCCATTCCCTCGGCAGCACTGTGATGTGAGCCTCTCGGTGACTCTGAGCCCATAGCCCCTGGGCTGTTGGGTTGCGGGAGTCACTGGCTCCTGTTTTTTCCTAGCAGAGCTTGAGCCCTGGAAAGAAATGCTCCATCCGGGAAAGTAGAGAGATAATGGGTAGTTTTAGGGGCCACAGACCCTTTCTCCTAAAAAATGTAAGAGAATTTCCCCCTCACCCAAAGTTCGCTCTGCACTCCGGAGTGTCTAAAACAGGGACTCGGCCTGTTCTGGACCCAGATCATCCTAAGGTGAAAAGAGAGGAAACTGGCCGGAGCTCCTCCCCTTCTCTATCAGCGAGCACTCGGGAAGAGCAGGTAGGGTTTTCATGTCCCACAGAGTCAGGACAGATAGAACTGGGGGGCTGAAGACACCGATAGCAATTGCAGAAAAGATGCCTCATGAGCTCAAGGAGCTGTGTGCTAGGCTGTTAAAAGGACACTCAGCGCCGAAACCGGTTTGGCTCAGTGGATAGAGCGTCAGCCTGCGGACTGAAGGGTCCCAGGTTCGATTCCGGTCAAGGGCATGTACCTGGGTTGCGGGCACATCCCCAGTAGGAGG